AAAAACCCACCACCCAAAAAAGAAAAAGAAGGAGAAGAATAAGAATCTTCACCAAGTAAAGACCAAGGCATATATTATACCTGATATCCCTTGTACTTTATCATTTCCTTTAATCTATCCACGATGTAGAGTAGCCCATTATCGTCAAAGTAGCAGATGTCACCAGTCTTCAACCAACCATGTGAATCGAAAGTGGAAGCATTTGCATCTCTGTCGCCAACATAGCCTGAAAAATTATCAGAATTATTTACATATGAGTACAGTACTACATTAGATGCTATAGAAAAGAGTGATGAATTTAAATTAAGAATTATGGTCAGTGCCTAAGAGCTTAACCTTTTAGCTTAAAATTAGTTCTTAGTTGATATTTAAGAACCGTAAACTTTAGGTTAGACCCGATTACTCCCCAACAAAAATATAGTCAATTGTTTAACTAACATTTTTATATTCTACCCATGATGATAATTCTACCTATAATGATAGTGATGTGGATGTTGTGCGTTGCGGAAGCCAAACAACCAAACCAACGTGCTACGAGAAATCAAATCAAACGAACATCGAGAGAAGGCCAAACAAACCAATTTTAACGTGGTTCGGAAAATTGCCTACGTCCACGGGGCAAGAAGGGGATATGATTTCTCACTAATAGAGAAGAAGAGTACAAACTGAGATTACAAATCACTCAACCTCATCAATTAATCTCACCAACATATCTCTAATTCTCTCCAAACAAAACCCTAACCAATAGCTCAGAAAATATCTCTTTTCTGTGCTCCAAATAAAAACCCTAACCAATAGCTCAGAAAATATCTCTTTTCTGTGCTCCAAATATCCCTAATTTTCTTCTTAATTCTCTCTTCCAATTGTTCCATATATATAACTCTTTTCTGTGCTCCAAATATCCCTAATTTTCTTCTTAATTCTCTCTTCCAATTGTTCCATATATATAAAAATCCTAAAACCATAAACATACTAGGAATTCTAAAACAAAAAACAAAACAGATTAGGAATCCTAATAACCTGTTACCAAAACAGATTTGGAATCATGTTACCAAAACAGATTAGGAATCCCAATAACCTGTTACCAAAACAAATTAGGAAACATATTAGGAACCTGCTATCCAACAATTCTTCACCTCGGCGAAGTTTTCCCAAAACTGAGCCGACACCAATACCAATCAAACGTCTCATTTGTTGCGTCCAGTATGGAGTAGAACAAATCCACGATAACGGACTCAATCCACAACAAGTCGAGAACCCAAACGAGAATGCGAACAAACTCCAAATGTCGGTATCAACTCACCAAACCGGATGCATCATAAATGACTGCCTACATATCCTCTTGCACAAGGAATCAAGCATTCACATAGTTCACCCAAACGGCCTCTAAAGGCCCTTAATCAAATAGAAAAATTTGTAACTTTTCATCAATATCACTAACGGATCTGCAACTGATAGCGCTCCCAAATATAAACATGATAGTGAGAGGATCTTGATCCTCTAAGGTTTGGTGATAAATGGAGAGCACCCAATTAGCTAAATTCTTGCTGTCCATTCTAATTTCAAATTAAGTATAAGGTAAGACCAACCAAAATTTCCATTCATCATAACAGTGGTTGATAATCACATTTTTATTACGATATTATACCCTCATTATCTAATTTATATGAATAAATATACCACTAATAATTAATTTTATCTTAATTTGCAAGTTAATAAAAAATAATGAATAAAAGCCCAAAAAACTCTAACTTCCTGATTTTGTAACCTTTTATTGAAGCCCAATGTCAAGCCAAGAAGCATACAGAAGCCGGAGAAAACAAAAATCCAATATCATATTCAAGATGGGTGGCCGCAAATAAACAACGATATCTCTCAATCCAAAAGGCGGAATTTAATATATATTATATGAAAATCGCCTATCTCGACGAAAAAAAGTCATCTGTCCAGTTAGATTTTTGATATTAGTATCCATAGGGGTATCGATACCATTGTCGATACAAAATGTGCAGTTATGATTTAAAGGCTGTAATTGATTAACTTGGGAAGTAAGTTTAATCTAAGGACTCTCATGCATTATTGTGGGCTATAAATAGGATAGAGAGTGAGGGGTTATGGTGTGAAATATTTTGTAAAAACTCCTTTTGGAGAGAGTTACACTTAATTGAGAAGACCTTTCAAATTTAATTTTTTATTACAATTAATAAAGAAATATTTTCACCTCTTCATATTTTTCTTTTCTTCTCTTTGTTTGATTATGAAGATGAAGGTGAGATGAAGATGAAGATCAAGAGGAACGTTTGCTATCACCTTGAGGCTATAACCCTCTTGGGATGTAAATTTTCTCTTTGTTAATAAATTTATCTTTTACTTTTTTTTGCTTAAATAGCCAAGAGGCTAGAAACATCTTGCTTTAGATTTATATTCATGCTTAGTAGAGTAGATTTACTTTCATGATTTTACTTTCTTGTTTTAAATTCTTGCATTTATTTCTTGTAATTTATTTTGTAGTTTAGATTTTATTTTCTTACACTATTCGCCTTGAGGCTAGAACCCTCTTGGGATTAGTTTTTATTTTTTATTTATTTTCTTTTTATTTGATTCGCCTAGAGACTAGAACCCTCTAGACAATTGCCTTTTTTTAAATATGTGGAACTAGTACTTGTGGGAACTCTAGAATTTGTATGAAACTACCTAGTAGATTCAATTCTAGACTCCTTATATCTCTAATTGAATCTTCTATATTTTACTTTCATTATTTTTTTCTCTTTATTTTGATTTTCTTCTCATTTGTTTCTTGATTTTATTTCCTTCATCTTTTTTTCTTTCCTTTTGTTAGTTTTGTTTACACTTACACTTTATCACACCCACTCTTTATCTCTCCACTCAATCTTGTTTTGTTTTTGTTTACATACAATCACTCTCACTCCCTTTATCTCTCCACAATCATATCCATTACTCATAATTGTCACACACACAACATAAGAACCATTTTGATTTTCTCCTACAAACACCTTCCTCGTGGGATCGATAACTTTTTATACTATAACTTGATGGTTGTGCACTTGCAACTCTAGAGATATACATTTATGCCCCGTCAAGTTTTTGGCGTCGTTGTTGGGGAATGTGCTTATAAGTAGAATTTTATTTATTTTGGTTCTTTAACTTATGTTTTCTTGTGAAGGAACCACATGGAGATTGAAGATCACGGATTGGAGATCAAGGATTTAAATGTTTGCTTTTGATAACTCTTCTCTCTAGTATTTTTAATTCCACCCCTTTAGTTAGTTCCTCAATTAGCGACAATTAGGATCTAAAAAGAGAAAAAAAAATTTATTTTTTGTCAACCATATTAAAATTCATCCTCCACTTGGACATTTACTAATAAGCTAATAAATTCAAACAATATTTCCCTTTATCACATTTGTTTGATTGCTAACCTTAATTAAAAAATAATAATAAGAATTTTTTTACCATCCTTTTGCAGTTGCTTTTAATTCATAGGGTTACATTGCATATAATAGTAGAAATTCACCAAAGTGATTTGAGCATCTTGATTTGACACGCACTTAAAAATATTCTTAAGGGTAAAAACCCCCTAATCAAGATAAGGTGAGAGATTTCATCACCTTTTCCTTAGCCCACAAATCACTAATTCCTCACTACATAAACCAAGCCTTTTAAAACTCATTAGACATTGGCCCCTAAGGAGTCGAGCTTATCAAGGAACAAGAAATCCCTAAGTGAACCGGTTCAAGTTTACTTGAATTAGTTGGTGTCTAAGACAATGTTTAGGGATTGCGTGAAGCACTACGCAAGAAACGAGGTACTTAATTGATCTTTGATCTCCCTCCACTACTATCCTTACCTAACTAACTGACCAAGTAAAACTTCAATCTTTTCACTAAGAGAGTTTTTGGTTAGGAGCTGGTCTAGCTGAGTTTAGGCTTAACCCTAGAATTTAGAGTGATTGACACAAGTGATTATTTTTTATTTAATTTAGTTAGGTTTTTCTTTTATCTTTTTCCTCCTTCTCATTATTTTTAAAATCTTCTATAGTATTCCTTAAAAAAACTAACTTTTATTTTTCTTAGAATTTTTTTAGTTAAATAATTTTTTTTAAAAAAACAATGCCTTGGTGTATGCAAGGTTGGATTAGGGATAATACCAATCGTTTAATCCATTTTGAACTAATTTTTGAAGAAATAAATAATCCTAATCCATCGGTTCTTCAAGATATGTGTTACTCAACTTGGAATGCAATCCCATCTTTCATTAAGCTACCTGAAGTCAATGGAAATAATTTTGAGTTTCGACCGTATTACATAAACATGCTTTCAAAATTCTTAGGAAATGAAACTGAAGACGCTTATATCTTTATCTCCGAGTTTGAGGAAGTTTGTCTTATGATTAACATTAGGGAACTATCTGAGGATGCGATCAAGCTTAGATTTATTTCATTTTCTCTTAAGGACAAAGCTAAGAAATGATTGTATAGCTTACCTATAAATTCTATCTCAACATGGGATGAATTTTGTCACCGGTTTTTGAAGAAAATTTTCCCTATCCACAAAACGGTTAATCTTAGAAACAACATCATGAATTTTAAAATTGTCCCGGGTGCCATTCTGAAAGTATTTTGACAGATTTAAGGATCTTCTTATCCAATATCCTCACAACGGTCTTGAAAAATGGCGATTATGCCAAATCATCTATGAATGATTGGATTATTCTTCAAAAACTTTCTTAGAATCAATGTGTTAATAGGATTTCATGAATAAAAATGTTGACGAAGCTTGGGAATTTTTAGAGAGTTTATCCTAGAAAACCATGCAATGAGAATACTATGATGACAAAGTTTCATCAGTTTCCCAACCCAAATCTAGTGGTCTGTCCTTAGAGACAAACATTGCCTCTGAAGCAAAGATGACTACAATCATGCATAAGTTTGAAGCTCTAGAAATCAAAGAATAAGCCCTAGCTCAAATCAATCAAATTTCTACCTCAAGTTATCACAACTATCTTTCTCCGTCCCATGTTTCAGAGGAATGTCCTCTCTAAGAAACCAATCAACCACTAGGATAGGTTAATGCTGCATTCCAGTGTTCCGTGAATGATCTACTTTCTCCAACCTACAATCCAGGTTGGTGAAATCATCCAAACTTTGCATGGAATCAGGAAATCTACTCTGGAAATCAAAAGTTCACTCCCTCTTCAAGCCAACAA